TTCTCCAACTGGCTTATCTTGCTTAGCATAATGCTCTCCAGGTCCACCCATGCTGTTGCAAATGGTAAAAGTTCCTTCTTTTTTTTATAGCAGCTTAGTATTCCATTGTGTAGATGTACCACAGTTTTCTAATCTACTCATCTGCTGATGGACACTTAGGCTGTTTCCAAATCTTAGCTATTATAAATTGTGCTGCTATGATCCCTCCAACTTTGTTCTTCTTTATCAGGATTGCTATAGCTATTTAGGGTCTTTTTTTATTCCATATGAATTTTTGGAAAGTTTGTTCTAGGTCTGTGTAATATGCTGTTGGTATTTTAATGGGGATTGCATTGAATCTATAAATTGCTTTGGGTAGTAAGGATATTTTAATGATGTTGATTCTACCAATCCATGAACATGGTATGTCCTTCCTTTGTTTGTCTTCCTCTATCTCTTTTTTCAATGTCCTGTAGTTTTCTGAGTACAGGTCCTTCACCTCCTTAGTTAAGTTTATTCCTAGGTATCTGCGATGGCAGTGTTTCGTATCTGTGCTGCCTTGGACAGTCGCCACTAGCCAAATGTGGCTACCAACTCTTGAAATGTGGCTAGTGTGACCAAGGAGTTATATTATTAATTTTACTTAATGTCAACTAATCTAGATTTAAATTTATTGATTTTTTTTCTATTTCTTTTTAAATACCTTTATCCAATTCCTTCATCCCCCCAAGCCCTGCTTCTGGTAACTACAAATCTGATTTCTTTTTCTGTGAATTGTTTTTGTTGTTTTAAATTCCACATATAAGTGACATTATACAGTATTTGTCTTTCTCTGTCTGACTTATTTCACTTAGCATAATGCCTTCAAGGTCCATCCATGTCACAAATGGCAGGATTTTCTTTTGTTCCTTCTTTTTTTTTTTTGCTAAAAAAAAAAACAATATTCATATATATATATATATATACTCATTCATTCAGTTATCTGTCGATGGACATTTAGATTGTTTGGCTAAATACCCAGGAGTAAATTTTGCTGGATCATATGGTAGTTCTATTTTTAACTTTTTAAGGAACCTCCATCTGTTTTCTGTAGTGACTAGACCAATTTGCATTCCCAATCTAGTTTTAAATTCAACTAGTGGCTGCATATTGGACAGCGCACCCCAGAGCATACCCTGCTATTTATTATTGTGTGGATAAACTCCTAAAATGCTTTACAAATAAGTTATTGGTTGTGGAATTATTAAATTTATATTTCAGAATAAAATGCTCCTAGAGTGATCTGCGGTTGTTACTACTAGTACAATAATTTATTAGGTTCTTCTGTTGGAGGAGGTGGTTCGCTGTTGCCGGCTGCTGGGGCAGCATGTTCTTGTGTGTAACACTGACTCTGGCCTGCTCTTCGGCTGCGCAGGGCCTGGGAGCAGTGCCTGCTGTAAATGTAACTGATGAGGACAGATCTGTATGCTTCTAGAAGTCATGCTCTTACTCAGGAATAGAGCTGGGTCAGAGGTTTCTCACAGGTGGAGCTCAGGTCTATCCTCTGTGTCCAGTGAGTGTTTTCTGCCTGAGGGAGCTTTTTAAGGAGACTTTAATGTAGGAGATTAGGTGAGTCCCCTCTGTGCCCCCCACTTCTGAGTCCTGCTAGGCACTTTGGGCTTCTTGTGGAACCATCCAAAAACGGTTGGGGGGCTGACTGCTGAGCCTGGGCCTGCACGAGATTCTTGGGGAGACGGGACTCTAGCTTGAGTAGCCTTCAGATTCTTAGATTGCCCGAAGATACTTTGACACCCGTCTTTGGGCATAGTTTTGGGGGGTGACATCATCACATCTTTGTCACCTTTTTAAAACACAGTGGAGGCTCTGGACTTAGAATGTCCCCAGTGCTCCTGTGACCAGAGCAGAAGGTGGCATTTAGAAGCTAGAGGACACATGAGAGTACTCAGGGACTTTTCTCTCAAATCTAGCAACCGAAATCAAAGCAGCCATCATTGATAGGCAGAAAATGATACTAAAAAAATAAATTCTTTGTCATAAGCAAAGTTCTACATGACTGAGCTTCCTGATTGAGGGCCCCGTTTGTTGCATTACATAAATCCATATCCTTGATTTTCATAGTCCAACTCTTCTTAGAATCATAGAATGTCAAAGCCAGGAGGTAGAGAATTTAGAAATGGTCACAATCCGGCCTTCTCACTTCAGCCTGGTGGAAGCAGAGGCCCAGAGAGGTTGAGTTGAGTGAGGACACACTGAGATTTTAGGGCTGATCAGGGGAGGCCAAAGCCAGCCCAGGTGGCCAGGAGTGCCTCCTGTGTTCCTATGTTATGCTGCCTCTCATCGGTGTGCTAAGTTCGGGGTTGTCTACAGGCCGCACATGTACTGCTGGGATCACAGTCAGAATCTGGACAGATTGATGAGAAAGGAACATTACAAACCCATAATAAGAAATATACAGGTGCACATTGTTTAGTTAATAGTTTAAAATACTACCCTTGCTAATGTGTCACATAGGTATCTTGAAAAATTCCACCAGAATATTCTGACCAGTGACATATTGCTGCCATCTTTTTATGATAGCGTTTCATAAATTTTTCCTGCCATGTATGTGTATGGTTTAGTTATTGCACAAGTTATTATGTTAGTTGGTTATTTTTTATGGGCAGTTTTGTTGTAGTTTGTTTTCTAAGCACTAGGCCTGTTTCCATTTATCGCCTACTCCTTTTGTAGATTACTTTCTTTAAATAGTATGCCTCTCTTACTTTATTCTCAAAGTATTGAAATGCTAGGTGCTACAGGTATGGTGCTGTGCACATAATAAGCATTCGCTAAATATTGGTTGAAAGAGCAAATGTTATCCCATCCACACAGGTCTGAATGTTAATTTCTTTTGCTTTTTACTTTGGCCATGGGAAAAACTCTATGGTTTAGGGAGAATATTAGCTGTGTAATTTTTTCCCCTGTCTAGCTTGAATGGAGTCTTAAACACACAATTCACATGCACACCAAAAGGCTGGAAGAGGTTTAGTAAATTGAATGTGGGGTTATTGTTTATGTCCACAAAACAGGGCCCTAAATCACATTTCGCATAATTTGTGGCTTTAAATTGGACTGATTTAGCAAGGAGAGTGAAATAATCTCTCATCCTGTCAAAAAGGCGATACCTTCAGACCAACATTTAATTGCATTGGCAAAGTAACTTTGGGAAGGCAGCAGTAATTCTGGCTGCATTATTCTTGGTTTGTGGCTAAATTGGGATCATCATTTTCTCCTGGTTGCACTAAGTTTCTTTAATGCTCTTCAAACTAATCAGATGAAGGCAGGAGAGAAACTTTGTGGTAGCTGGAGGGGGAACAGGAGAACGGGCGGGTCTCTGAGCAATGTTGTCATCTGTGGAGCTCATACACTTCATGGTCCAGGTTCAGAAAAGGTAAGCTGACACCTGGCGACTCAGCAGGCACAGCCTGATTTTCTTCATGATCATTTACATAAAGTGAATACCATTCATTTGCATAAAAGTGTGTTTTTGACTACGCATCTAAAAATGTGCTTTTGTAGTCAAATTGTATAGGCAGGGCTCACATGCATTCATATTGGTGTCCAAGAGCGTGGTTTCCCAGCTGCCACTATTATCCCCTTAAAATCTGTCCTCTTGTCTCCATCCCTACCACCAGCCACTTCGGAAACAAATCTATATGCCTTGCTCATTTTCCATCTGGATCACTGCTTCCTCGTCCCTTAGTCTAGAATGATTTGTATTATTCACAGTCCCCTCCTCCAAGGAAAGCATTTCCCTTATCTCTTACCAAGCCTCCTCCCTTTAAAAGAAATCCTGTCATCGATATCTTAGACATTTTATAAAGTTGAAATGATGACCCCAGACTAGATTGAACAGTGTGCCTGTCCTCTTTACTTATTCCCCCGGAGTTACACACTAGAGTTCTTGGAATGGCGCTCTCTGTAAGTATTTTAGATGTCTGTTTGGGATTTCACACACACCTTTGCAGTGGTACTAAGCAAAGGTGCTCCTCGGTTTTCTCAGCAGTCCGGAGCATTCGCTGGAGGGAACTGGTGGGATGGAAAGTACATGTACTGACATGAGACAGAATTCTTGTGTTGTGCCCAAGGCCCATGTCAGTGGCTTCAGTTACCTGCATAGTCTTGGGATTGGTGTTTGTATGAATCATGGACAATAAGTTCATGGCCAATAAAATATTTATAGAAAACTTGAATCAGCAAATGGATACATGAAGTACAATCTATGGGAAGTATTTCTGCTACCAATCGAGAATTAGTACTTTTGAGATAAAGAAGCCTTTGCTTTTAAATTTGTATTTGCAGGTATACTGTAGGGAAGGAAGAATCTGTCAGGCCCCGACTGTTATATGTTAACCTTTGACCTGCCTATTAGTATTCCTATCATGCTACTGAGTTGGTTTTTCCTATTCTATATAATAACAGTGCATTGATCGGTTGCTAAGCTGATGTAACGTGTGTGTGTGTGTGTGTGTGTGTGTGTGTGTGTGTACTGATCAAGGTGCAAAGGTCAGGGCCAAAATAAGAGACTGGGTAGGTTGAATATTTTATCATTTAAGGTTGAACTTAAATTGTGATTTAGTGCAATGTGAAGAGAACACTCTTCAGATACCAGAGTATTAACACAGCCTGATGAACGTATCATTAAGAATGGGACTTGGAGTTCGCTTGCTGCAAGGAGACCAAAAGGAAGGAAAAGTGCACTTATCAGACATTGTATGAGGATTATAAAGCTTATATGCTTCGTAATATGCACTTATAGGCTGTTTGTGGCACAGACATTCTCTTTGCCCTTTGAAGAAACATTTTCCTTTCTACTCAGTGGTGAGTTACAATCTAGGAAAAACATACAAAATGTAAGTATATGTGAATTAGATGATTATATTGGATGGTTCTCTTTCATGTGAAGAAAAATACAGTGTGTTGCTGGCATTCCCTGTGAGGAGTGAGGTTCCTGAGTTCATAATCAGCATTTTTTGTCTTTATAGCTGTGCCTGCAAACATAGCAGAGCTGAAGAATTTGGAAGTGCTTAACTTTTTTAATAACCAGATTGAGGAGCTGCCCACACAGATCAGCAGCCTTCAGAAACTGAAGCACCTGAACCTCGGGTGAGTATCGGGCGAGGGAAACGAGGAGGAGGTGGAGGGACTGTGGCGTGGGCAGGGGTTCCCTCATGGGAGGAGCTGATTCCTCATTTCCTTTTATGTTTTAGGTTTTTTGAAAGTTTTATTGTTTTAATACATCCTTACAATGGCCTACATTAGTGCAGATCTCTTTGAGAACTAATTGAGAAGCTAATTGTTGGTGCAATAAGGGTTGTGTGTTTTTTTTTACTGTATTTTGTTTCCAATAAAATTTTATTTCAGTGATATTGATTCTGAAGGGACTTACTTGCTTAGCTGTAACTGTTCGGGCCAGTTGTAATGTGGTTGACTCTGCTCTCTGTGTCAAGCAGAGGTAGTTCACAAAGCACCTTCCTTCTCTGAGGAGAGGGTACATTTCTTAACATGGCTTTATTGATTCTTGCAATTCTTTTATGTAGTCAAGAGGTTCTAATCTTGTCTGTCTTTATACAAAGATGAAGAGAGGAAGTTTGGTTCAGTTGAGGTTGCAGAAGCAGGTATCAATGAAGAATAATCCCTTGCTCTGTATATTACTTGATAGTTTTCAAAGTCCTCATGCCAGCATTTGGCCCTCTCAACCATTATAAGGGTGGGCAGGCAGGCACTCCTGCTTTCATGTCCAGGAGAGGAAGCCAAGCCCTTTCCAAGAGGTGAAGTGACTTGCTCCCAATGGCCCCTATGGTTAGGGGCCATGCCAGGCAGAGGACCCTGTCCATCAGACATCATAGATACCACCCAGAACTTGGGCTTCTGAATGCCAGCTTCATTGTTATAGCTCTCAGAAAAAGGGCCCACTCATGCTTTATTCACTGTGCAAAGTAATATATTCATGAAATCATAGCCATTAAATGCTCTAGTAAGGTAGTGATTTACATGGAGTGGTAATAGAAGCTGGCCAGGTATTTATCAATTTAATAAGAAGCAATCATGGAGAAAAATCTCATTCATGGAATGAGTTTTAGTTTAGTTCATTCTTTCCACGGGGAGTTTTTGGTTAGACACTCTTTATTTTGATGTTCATTCTGGTTGAGAGATGAACATTTTTAAGATCCATGAGCATTTTTTTTCCCTAATGTCTAAGGGGAAGTAGTGTTTAAAGGAGGAGAAAGAACACTTTAGGTCGGGTGGGATTTCCCCCTATAAATATGGAGACTATATACCCAAAGAAAGGATCTTCTCTTTAGATCTTTGTTTTGAAAATTGTCATACTGTTTAATTTGCATCTGTAAAGAATCTAAAGCTAGATACATATACTAGATATATAAAACTAGATATATTCTTACTATTAATTTTTTCATGTATTAAATTAGTTATTTACATATCAGGTGCTAGGAACACTACCTGGCACATAGTAAGCAGTACGTAAGTGTTAACTATTATCATCACCATTGTTGTTGTTTTTTTTATTAATTCATTTTTTGTGTGACTATGTAAGTGCCTATTCTGCATCAAGAACTTTGCTAGTTCTGTTGGGGGCCAATGGTGAAAATCACAGTCCCTGGCGGTAAGAATAGGGGCAAAGCTGGCTGTTAGCGAACAGTGACAGTGTACAGCTGGGTCACTGATGTGTGGCAGGTTCTAGAAGTGCAGTGGGAGAGGGAGCAGGGGCACAGTAGTCTACAAGGAAGATTCTCAGGGGAAGAGATCCTGCAAGGGTAGTATTTGAGCCCAGACTTGATGCATCAGAAAGAATTTCTCAGACTCTAAGCAGTGGGAAGACATCTCTGATTGTGAGAATGACATGTTTGAAAGCTCAGAGCCCTGCATGTTCCGGGCATTACAGGTGGTTTGGTGTTGTTGAGTATGAAATGTGAGGGATGGTACGGTATGATAAGAGGGGAGAAGAGAAGCATGAATCTCTGCTCTTCATTTAATGAGTATTTCTTGAGCTTCCAACTATGTGTTGTAGGTAGTGGCCATCCAGCTCATATGGGGCATACATCACAGTTGGGGAAGTAGACTAAACAAATAAATCATCAGCAAGGAGTCAATGTGCTAATGAAGGTAAACAGATAAATCATCAGCAAGGAGTCAATGTGCTAATGAAGGGCCTGAGTGTCAAATAAAGGAGCTCCAATTTTATCACGCTGACCATTGAAGAGTTTGCACAGTGGAGTGGCGGGAAAATATGGGTTCAGATTTTTGTATGAAGGATGTGTGAAGAGAGGCTGCAGGGGGATATGGCTGGAGGTCAGGAGCCTCGTCAGAATGCTAAATTAACGTTCCTGGTGAACTTGGGCAGTGAGAACGGAGGCAGGGGAGGGATGGTATGTGAAAAATACAGAGGAGGTAAAACTGGCAAGACGGATACAGATGAGATGGGATGATACTTAGATATCTGCTGTGGGCAGCTGAAATAGAAATACAGGTGGAGCCAGGTTTCGGAAGGTCCTGAGCTCAGAATTTGTTTGGCTGGGTTCCAGATGCCTCAGGATGGAGTTGTAAAGGTTCCTTTTTTATTGAATGTGTCTGAATCACCTCTTTATTGTCCTGGGAGCTGTTTGCATATTTCTGGCTCTCAGTGCTTTATTGATTGTGTAAAGTTTTCTGTATTTAATTTTCTAGCTACATAGATAGGACTGTCAAAGCTTGAACTAAATTCTTAGTTCTCTGGGAAAGAATTAAGATGGGTTTCAAGAAAGGATACTTCTGTCCTCAATAGCATAAGAAATTATACTTAAAGTTCTGTTTAAGGCAAGATATATAGAGCATACTCTTTAGACTAAGCAGCCTGAATGAAAATATATAAAATGAGATGCTACAGTTAGGCCACATGCATGCCTAATCTGAATGGCACACTCCACCAGACTCTGCTTTTCAAGTTTATATAGTACTATTTGCTGTATATTCCGGTGAAAGGACTTTTAGGCCATTTGAATAAATAAAGGAAAGTTGAGTTATGTTCTTAATTTTTTAATGTGGCTCACTTTATGAGTTATTTTCCAAAAAAATGTAAAGCCACATAGGTTACATGTTAGTAATTATTTCAAGGATGATCGCATGTCGAGAGGACCGTGGCCAGCTGTTTGGAATAACTTTCCACTATGAGAGGCTGGAGCTCATCTCATGAACAGTTAGAAGTTTTCACCAAGCACAGCGCTGAGTGTTTATGGATTTGGATTTTTGATGTTTATCCTGCTAAGTGTATGAACTGGTCACTGTGGAGGTGAGAAAGATTCTTGCCTTCAGCTAAGAAGGTTTTATTGAATTAAGAGGAGCCCAGGAGAACCGCCAGAGATCCAAATGTTCCAAAAGGGAAGCATTAGTATGGGCTTTCCTGTGGCTTTTGAGGAAGAGAAAAAAAAAAAATCTGATTTTGTAAGTTTCTTCATCATATGCAGGCATTTTCCCGTTTCCAGTACGCAGGTGGAAAATGTCCACATGCAAACAAAGAATTGATGCCACTTGGTATAGTTGAGCCACAACCTTGGAGTTGACCTAGGGTAAGCTGGTTTGGTGCAAATAGAAAAACCATCCTTGATAGTTGAGGTTTCTACTGTGATCTTTTCTCCTAAGGTGAGCTTGCCTCTTTGGGGTTGAGTCAGAATTCCTCTCAAACCTCCTCTTGAAATACAATTGTAGTTATAGCTGTCATTTCTCAAGAACCCACTCAGGAGCCACGGATTGTTTTAAGTGCTTCACGTGTTTTCTCTCATCCTCCTGGTGAGCCTGCTGGGAAGGTATTGCTAGTCTTATATTACAGATGAAGAGGAATTGGGTCTCAGAGAAGCTGAATAACTTCTCCAAGTTATTGGAGCAGGTGCTAGAGCTGGACTTCAAACCTAGATCTGTTCTTCCACTGTCCCTACTGTAACCTCTCCTGGACATCTTGAGTGGCAGTGCTCAGAGGGGACCCTGAGGACACAAGTCCTACCCATGTAGATGGAGGTAGATGTTAGTGCCCACTGTGGGGGAAGCCTCCTGCACACCCTGTCATTCTGCGGAGATAGACTCTCTCTGGTTGTTTTGTGTGTGCTGGTGTCGAGGGAACCAGCCAGTATCCTTATGGCTTCTTGCATTGTTTGTAGCTGGGGCTATTGGCAGCACCGCTTCTGGACCTTCAGCGTCATTTCAGTCAGGGCTCCCTTTCCACCCACCAGGTCAGAGGGCCTACTCCTGTCACGTACTGCTGGCAGCTTACAGGGCTCTGCTGTGTTCCTGACATTGGGGGGAGGGGAGGGATGGTTTATTGCTCAAAGAGAAAGAAATCCTGCAGTTTAGTAGATTCAGGCTCACTATATGTGGAGATGGGATGGGGACTCTCTTCAGTGAGATGCTCCTTGCTTTCAAGGCAGCGATTTTCACCTGGTGTGCCACAGGAATTTTTAAAACACGCAATACCTGACTAGTCAGGGCACTGAGCTCTTTTCCCCTAGATTGTCAAATAAAAGATAACAACAGTCAGTGCAACAATAGCCATCAGGTGTGAATGAATAAAATTTATGACTATTCTTTTTTTGTCGGATTGACAAAAAACATTTTTTCTGGTGGGCTGCATAATTTTGGTCATTAGTTTGTGTGCCATGAGATGAAAAAGTTTGAAAATCACCGACTTAGGAAGGGTATACTTCTGTGCACTTCCCACTATGGACTTTTTCTTCAGTTGCATCGTAGTCTAATGATTAGGAGTGCCTTGCCTTCCATGAGGTGCTGGGTGCTCTCAGACACCTGTCACCCTCATCAGTTGAGTCAAAAGTCCTTAGTCGTTAACCTCTCTCAGCCTATTTCCCCATCTCAACATTACAGAGATGATTATAAGTGCTGTCCTGCCTATATTACACGATAGTTTGGGTGATTCAGGTGAAATACATGATATAAATATGCTTCACAAATTGTGAATTCATGGAGCTTATTTCGTTAAATGTAAAGTTAACCTGGGACTTTTCTAAGCATTCAGAGGTGGTCACTCTTTCTTTCGAGGCTTGTTTGGTGGGTGTGGTCAGGATTGTAGCTCATATGAGATGGATGGATGTCTAGAATTGTTTGTAGTGTCACAGTTCCTCCCACCTTTTCACATCTGCCAGTCTGTATTAGATTAAAAAAAAAAAAGATTTTAAAATCACTTTTAACTGTGCACAAAGTTCGGAACTGTGTTAAGAAAAATAGGTTCTTGAAAAAAATGATAGAGTAATAGAAAAAATTTTTCTTACATTTCATTGGAGATTTTATATATATATATTTTTAATTTTCAATTGTAGTAAAATACACATAACATAAAATTTAGCATCTTAACCATTTTAAGTGTATGATTCAGTTGTGTTAAGTCTATTCACACTGTTGTGCAGCTAATATCCAGAAGTTTCTCATCGTGCAAAACTGAAACTCTACACCCATGAAAACTGCTCCCCATTTTCCCTCCTTCAGTCCCCTGTAACCACCATTCTAATTGGACATCAGTTTGAATGTTAGGAGCTGCAGAACAAAAAAGTGATTCTTCCCCTCCCCCTTGGGAGGAATAGTGAAATAAAGTCAAGTGTGAAAACTACAAAGCTCACTTGTCTTTTGAGGTGTTATTGCTACATTCATAAGGAAGTTTTCTCTAGAAGACAGGTATTTTTGTGAAGATCGAATTTTCTGTGTAAAACAGTGATTGAACATCACCATTGGAGAAAATGACAAAGAAGACATTTTCAAATATTTCACCGCCTGGACTAGGCTAGTTAAATAACATAGTGATCATAGAATTATGACTTCTTTTAAGCTTTCAACCCCTCACATATGGCTCTTAGGCTTGTGACATAGGTGATCTGAATATTCTGTCTAAACATATGTTTTATATGTGATGTCTTGGTTTTTTCTCCACCCACAGCATGAATAGACTAAACACTTTGCCTCGAGGATTTGGCTCTCTCCCAGCTCTTGAGGTCCTTGATTTGACTTACAACAACTTGAATGAAAATTCCCTTCCTGGAAACTTCTTCTACCTGAGTAAGAAACTTTTACTTCTGTAATTCTCCTTAAAATGGTATTGTGTGTTCTAAAAAATATATTTATTTACCAAGGCCCAAACTCCAAGAGAAATTGGGCATATAGATTTTTTTTCTTTACAGATTCCTTTTGAATTTTCTTTCGTAGCTCAACAGTATGTGTACTTGATATATAGTTATCTGACACCATTGCACTGAAGTGGACTTTAATAATGTCATATTAACTTTCTGATAGAGATTATGTATCTAAATGAGATATTTAGCTAAGGAGTTTGAGTTTCTTTTTTTAAAGAACATGAAATATGTAATAATATATGTGTTGCAGGTAACTTTTTGTAGGATATTTGCCCAGAGATATTCCAATCACTTATTTATAAAAATATCTATCAATAAACCACTGACAGAATTTTTAAAATTTCCAGCCATGATTATTGTTTTAATCCTTTTAAAAAGTGCTCTTATTGCCCTAGCCAGTTTGGCTCAGTGGATAGAGCATCGGCCTGCAGACTGAAAGGGTCCCAGGTTCGATTCCTGTCAAGGGCACATGCCTGGGTTGCGGGCTTGGTCCAAGGTGCCGGAGGCAGCCAATCAATGATTCCCTCTCATCGTTGATGTTTCTTTCTCTTCCTCTCCCTTCCTCTCTGAAATCAGTAAAAATGTATTTTAAGCCCTGACTGGATTGACTCAGTGGATAGAGCGTTGGCCTGCGGACTGAGGGGTCCCGGGTTCGATTCCAGTTAAGGGCATGTACCTTGGTTGCGGGCGCAGCCCCCGTAGGGGGTGTGCAGGAGGCAGCTAATTGATGTTTCTCTCTCATCGATGTTTCTAACTCTCTATCCCTCTCCTTTCCTCTCTGTAAGAAATCAATAAAATATATTTAAAAAATTATATATATTTTTAAAAAGTGCTCTTATTGATGTATTCTATTTTGTTGATAGTATATAATTAAACACTTTTAGCTTTTCATATTGCAAACAGATTCTTGTTGCAAATGCTCATAAATATTAGGAAAAACTTATTTTCTCAAGAACTTGTGAAATATTTAGGAAAGAGTTACTTTCCTTCAATGAGTGTTCTGCTTGTCCAAATAGTGACATGTATGGCATCCAGAAATATTGAATTTTCTGAGCTAGTTTCTAAAGTTACATTTTTTACCTTAGCTATACCCTCTCTCAGACTTCCTCAAGCATGTGAAAGCAACTCTAAAATATTTTCTTGGGCTGTGGAATAAATTGTTTTTTATTATGTAAATTAATATACAATTCTGTCGAATTTTAAAACATTAGAATGTAAATGAATGCAACAACAAGAAAACATACATCTGCTTATACTCCTTTTTGGTTGAGGATAAAAAGATTCTTTGGGATTTTAGTAGTTTGGATCATGTTACCATTGTGTAATACTGTGAACAAATTTCTGATTATTGGTATTCTGCCTAAGTTAGTGTTTTCTCTATTTTTAGACTCCAGGTCATTATTTTAGCCCTTTGTCTTCATTTATTTTTGTTGTTAAGGCCATAGAAACAAGTAATAATATAGTTGACCCTTGAACACACAGACTTGAACTTCAAAGGCAGGTTCACTTATATGTAGATTTTTTAAAAATAAATACAGTAAATATATTTTCTCATGATTTTCATAATAACATTTTTTTTTCTCTAGCTTACATTATTGTAAGAATACTGGTATGGTATATACTACACATGACATATAAAATATGTGTTAATCGGCTATGTTTTCGGTAAAGCTTCCAGTCAACAGGAGGCCATTAGTAGTTAAGTTTTTGGGGAGTTAAAAGTTATGTGTGGGTCTTTGTGCAGAGAGTCCTTTCCTCTAACTTCCTCATGGGTCAGGGGTCAACTGTAATGAGTCTGATCATGGAAACAGTGAACAGTGATTATGGCTTCCACCACCAGAAAGCCTTTTAGTAATTGATTTGTTTTTAACACTAAAGACCCAGTGCATGAATTTGTGCACGGGTGGGGTCCCTTAGCCTGGCCAGTGATTGGGGCCAATCGGTGCTGTCTCACCCAGTCCCGATTGGGGCCAGCCGGCCAGGGGGAGGGACTGCATGAGGTTGGCTGTGGGAGCGCACTGACCCACCAGGGAGCAGCTCCTGCATTGAGTGTCTACCCACTGGTGGTCAGTGCGTCCTCATAGTGACTGGTCATTTGGTCAACTGGTTGTAACAGTCGCATAGGCTTTTATATATATATATATAATAGTTCTCTTTACATGAAAGAGCCCTTTTGCCTTAAGTATTGATATAAGTGACACAGTGGTTTTCTTTGTTTTACTTTGGATGCAAATGGGGTAAGAAATGTGAATCGGAAGTAATAGGAGAAAAATAGCTATCTTTTCTGAGGGTATATTGACATTTTGTGCCAAAAACTACTGGTGCCCACAGTTGTTAATTGTGTCAGTCCTCTTGGATATAGATGTTTTCCTGAACACACCAGCCCCACAATAAGCCAGTAAATCTAAGTTTGACCTGCTTGTTATTATTGTGAGCCCTAGGTATGTCACAGGCTTCTCACCAAGCCAGGGTTATTAATCAAAGCTGACTCCCTTGTATTGATCAGACCTCAAATGGTTGGGTTCCATGTCACCCTGTTTATATATTGCTGTTTAATTTGCAGCCACCCTGCGTGCACTCTATCTAAGTGACAACGATTTTGAAATCCTGCCGCCAGATATTGGGAAGCTCACAAAGTTGCAGATAGTAAGTAATTTATCTAAATTCTGAGAAAATCAATTCACTTCTGCAGCCCCTGTAGGAGTAGAATCAAGTCAATTTGAGCAGGAGTAGGGTTTGTTCTGCAGGAATAAACCACTACTCTTGGTACTGTTTCTTGTTCATCTGTAGTCACTTGTAAATAAATTGAAAGGATTGAGGCTTAAAGAAGAGAGGGCATGGAAGAGGACAGAGTTTATGTTGAACGCCTCTTTAAGGGAATTTATGTGAAATTGTTTTGACAACTCCTTGTTTTCTTGTATTTAGCTCAGCCTTAGGGATAACGACCTGATCTCGCTGCCTAAGGAAATCGGGGAGCTTACTCAGCTTAAGGAGCTCCACATTCAGGGGAACCGCCTGACCGTTCTACCCCCAGAACTAGGTAAGGTTGCTGATGAATGAGCTTACTTCTGTATTTAATTAATACCAATTACCCAAATGCAACAATTCTGAACAACCCTCCCTCCCTCTTGTTGGCCATACCCTTCATCGAGGCACCCAGTTCTGATCACTTACTGGCATTTGTCATTGACCAGCATTCAGCTGTGCCAGGTTTGGCCTGCCCTGGCTCTGCATTCAGTGGCTGCCACTGCAGTGTCTCAGAAGTGGCTGATGAGAGATGACCCAGCCCAGCTGCCTGCACCCTGCAGTGAAAAGAGCCCGGAGCCGTGGCGATCCTCTTATCTATGGCTCCTCCTTTACTAGCTGGAGATGGGTTTTGGTTTTTTAATCATACGAACACTCTTACTTTTTTTAATCCTGTATTTTTAAATTTTAATCTCTTGAAAACTTACCAAATAGTTGTGTTTCTTACAGCTGCTTGAATACCTCTCCCAGTCATGAATTTGGTTTCCTCCTGATTCCACCTCCAGTGGGAATTTGAAATGTGTTCTATCTGGGAATTCCTCTGTCCTATCCCATGTCCGGTTGGCAGCTGAATCTTACTACTCTGCCTGGTCACTCAAGTGGCCCCTTTGGCCTCTGACCTTCCTCGGAAATAACATCCAAAGCTGTTCTTCTGTTACTAGGCTATGCTACTCTTCCAGAAAAAGGCTCATGAGTTCACTTTGCTTATGCACACCCTCGGTATCCTCTCATTTCTTCTATACATCAGACTGCATTGTTTCTCAAACTAAGACTTTGCTTTTCTGCCCCCAAATACTATCATTTTAAAAAACACACTTAACCCAATGTAAGCCCACTCAGAGCAGGGGCTTCTATATTTGTTTTCCCCTGCTTACTTACTATGTACATGGGTATGTGCTCAAGGAATATGTCCTGAATGATTAATGAAGTGAGACCCTCGGATAGGCTAGCAAGGTTTCAGAAAGGCTGTGAGCAGGCAGTCTGACTTCTGTTCAGAGCTGTGCTGTTCAGCCACGAGCCACATATCCAGTGTTCAGTAGCCACGTGTGGAAAATGCAGATAGAGAACACTTCCATCAGCACAGGAAGTTCTGTTGGGCAGCGCTGGCCTAAAGGAAAAGCATTCACATGCTTCCATGGAACAAATGGAAAGTTTTACCCCCACTTTTCCCATATCTTTGAGCTCCTTTGTTAGTGTAAAAGGTCTAGAGAGAGTTGTACTGCTTTTCAGCACCTCCCCTTCTCTGAGTTAGAAGTAGCCCAGTCTCTGGTGCAGCCACTATGGAAGACAGTATGGAGTTTCCTCAAAAAACAAAACATGGAACTCCCATTTGACCCTGTGATCCCACTTCTAGGAATATATCCCAAGAAACCAGAAACACCAATCAGAAAGGATATATGCACCCATATGTTCATGGCAGCCCAATTCACCATAGCTAAGATCTGGAAACAGCCTAAGTGCCCATCAGTAGATGAATGGATTAGAAAACTGTGGTACATCTACACGATGGAATACTATGCTGCTGTAAAAAAGAAGGAACTCTTACCATTTGCAACGGCATGGATGGAACTGGAGAGCATTATGCTAAGTGAAATAAGCCAGTCAATGAAGGAAAAATACCACATGATCTCACACATTCATGGATAATAGAGACCATTATAAACTTTTGAACAATAATAGATACAGAGGCAGAGCTGCCTCAAACAAATTGTCAAACTGCAGCGGGAAGGCCGGGGAGGGTTGGGGGGCAGGAGGGAAGGGGGTAAGAGATCAACCGAAGGACTTGTATGCATGCATATAAGCATAACCAATGGACATAAGACACTGGGGGGTAGGGGAGGCCAGGGGATTGTCAAGGGCGGGAAAAAAAAAGGACACATATGTAATACCCTCTGTAATACTTTAAAAAAAAAAAAAAAGAAGTAGCCCAGTCTCACTTTAGGAGCAGGCTACAGGATCAAGAAACTTTTTAAAAAATATATATTTTTATTGATTTCAGAGAGAGGAAGGGAGTGGGAGAGAGAAAGAAACATCAATGATGAGAGAGAGAATCATTGATCGGCTGCCTCCTGCACACCCCACACTGGGGATCGAGCCCACAATCTAGGCATGTGCCCTTGACTGGAATTGAACTTTGACCTCCTGGTTCACGGGTCAAAGTTCAACCACTGAGCTACACTGGCCTGGCACAAATGTTTTAAGGCTGAAAACTTCTTTCAAAAGAAAGATTCTGTACAGTGATTGGTAACCACAGGTGTTAGCATTGGTCATACCAGGCAAACTTTTGCACAATAGGAGTACTTGCTCCCTCCCAACCTGTGAAATGAGAATTTCCCTGCAGGAGACTAGTTCTTGTCTAATTTGGTAAAGCTCACTTGGTGCATCCTTGATTAGTGTGATTAGGAGAAATGAAAAATAAAGTGTATTTTGTTGTTTTATCTTACTTCATTTGTCAAGCAGTGAGGCAGTGTAGGGCATTAGATTAATCAATTATTTCTATCAGATAATAATTTGTTAGAAAAAAATCTAGTTGATCCTACACATACCTATGTATATCTTAAAATCTTACTCACATTGCTTATCCTATTTAAATACTGCTTGTTATCATATTTGTCTAACATTTCTGTTAAGCTCTCCGATAACAACTTACATGTTTTTTACTCAGCAGTGGATTAAGGAGAAAGTCTCTAAATAACTTTATTTTTTTGTGTGAGCCATATCTAGAAAAGCGTAATCTTAACATCTGCCTGGTGGCAGTTTTCCCTAATTATAGGTAAACACTTAGCTGGAAATAAATGATAAACCCCTGGGAGTTTCTGTTACAAATATAACCTCAAGATGAAGACAGATGTATTATTTATTTTTACACACTGATTTTTTTTAAAAGTCAAGTATAATAAATAGTGATATAATAATATCACTAGCCAGCATGTGTTCTCTGCTGTCATTGTCATAAGCACAGTAAGCTGACTTTTTAGAGGTGAAGAAACTGAGGCTTGGAGAAGATAGGTGACGCCTCGTAGGGACACAGTGAGTCACAGAGGTGAGATCTGAACCCTGACTGACTGTCCTCCAGGTCCACATTCCTAACCAATGCGCGGTCCTCCTCCCCATTGTGCCAGTAGAAGGATTCCTAGAAAGCGGTTTCCGAGTGTGAACACGATGCAGCACTGCTCGCTTCCCCAAGCTGTGGCAGGGGGACAGATGACAGGATATGGCCGGTCACATGGCCGACGGGGCTGGTGTGCAAGCAGCAGGGCTAGGGTAAAACTGCAAAATGCTGATGAGATGGCCTCTGGGAAACAAATTGCTGTTCCCCTTTCCACTCCAAGCCAATTGCATCGTCGCTGTCGTTCTTTCCCCAGTAAACACCCAGCCACAGCAGGAGTGCCTGTCTGTGTGTTGGATGCACAAGGTGCCCATATGGCTAAGGGCCAGTGCGGGGCCTGATGTACTTGAACCTTCCTATATCTCGCCCACCAGCATCCACTGGCTGCAGGTTTGCTCTGGGTGCATTTTAAAGTGTGGATAATGGTCTCTCCCCTATATGTTTATTTTTTATGTATCTGAAAAGCAAGATTAGTGCTTTGGAGATTTCTGTGAAATTTCCTTTAAAAATAAGTTCAGAGTTTATTAACTGGAAACATGGTTGGTAAGAGTATTTGGGCCAAGCAAGGGAATCCAATTGGGTTCTGACCTGTCAGATATAAGAACATGCAGGGACACAGCAAAATAAAGTCAGGGGCTTGCATGGAGTTTAACATGTAATTTTATTACTTTCCTTTTGTTATGTAACCCTGAATAAGTTACTTTAACCGTTGTTTCTGATTCCTACACAGTAACTCACTTGATTTGATGTTAGTCCAGTTTATCCATTGAAAATTAGATATAAATTGGGTCTATCATTTACCCATCCATTTATTCATTCATTTAGACATTTACTGAGTTCCTACTTTAGGCCAGGTCTTGTCTCTAAGGAACTTACTTTTTGGATAAAGTAAAATTCACATATTCAGCAACTGTTTATTGAGTCCCGGCTTCATGTTTTATTTTCTGGGGTTACATCAAGAGACGAAGCATGCCTTGTGGCATTCTAGTTGGGGAGGATGAATGGATGATGGGTGGATAGCATATCAGATACAAGTGCTCTAGGAAGAAAAATCAGCGTGGGAGGGAATGTCCATATTGGGGTAGGGGGGTGTTGCTCTATTACAGAGTCAGCAGGGAAAGCCTCAATACTATGATGATGTCTTTTAATCAGAGACCTTAGGGAGGGAGCTTCTCTGGCTGAGGGAATAGCAAGTGTCAGGGAATGAGGTGGGCTTGTATGTTGAGGGGTAACAGCAAGATTAGTGTAGCTGGGACAGAGTGAGCAGAGGGGAGAGTTGGAAGATAAGAGCTTAGGTAGAAAGTGGGGACTACATCCTGTGGGAACTTCTGTGCATTGTAAGGACTTTGGCCTTTACTCAGGGTGAGATAGTGCAGGAGCATGAATAATCGCCCAAAGATGCCCTCATCCTATCACCAAAACCTGGGGATGTGTTACCTTGCATGGTAAAAGGACTGTACAGATGTGATTTAGAATCTTGAGATGGGGATATGATTCTGCATTACCCAGGTAAGCCCAGTATAGCTATAGGGTCCTTAGAAGAGGGAAGCAGGATGGTAAGAGACAGTACAAAGTAGATGTGATGACAGAATCACGAGGGTGTAGTCACGAGGGTGCATGGAAGGGGCCATGAGCCAAGAAATGCAGGCAGCCTTCAGAAGCTGAAGAAGCCAAGAGAATGGATTTCCCCCTGAAGCCTCCAGAGGAATGCCACCCTCTGCGTTCATCCAGCTGGCAGTAATGGTAGATTCTGGGCCTGTCTCTATGGCAGAACTGACGGGAATTGGTGACAATATAGGTGAGGGGTGTAAGAATGAAGATTGCCTGTGAGGAGTTGGAGCTGGGGAATGGAAAGGATGGAGAACATCATGGGAAGGGTAGATTAGGAGATGGGGAGAGGAGAGGAG